TCTTTTTTCCTTAAAAGGTCAGGTTTTGCTTCTGGCTGCACCCATGATTTTCAACACATTTTAACCCCAATACATTGTCAGGAAAAGGGGCTTCATTTGGGTTACAACATGAATGAGTTGATATTTTCAATGTTTACCTCTTTGTCAATAATTCAGTTCCTAATACTATAGAAAAAGATGACCTTAGTAGTTTAGTGGGTTATAATAAAAGTACAAAGAAAGCCTTAATTAGAGCCAATGTATTATGTTTATTGCTATTAGTCATCAACAGTCAAGACATTTACTTAGTCTGGACAGCCCTCAAATGACAAGTAACTAATGAAAAAAAGAAAGGTTTAAAGCAGCTGTCAGAATAACTGCTTTTGTTTACACTATAGTAGTATAATACTCTTATGGCAGCTATTCAGTAAAAATCTAAAACTAGTCTTAAAGATAAAATTCTAATCTCGAATTTGGTGACATTAGTCTGACTGTAAATTAATATAAATAAAATTATTTTTATTTGTAACCATGAACTTTGAAGCATTTTTTAAGTTCTCTTTAAATTTAATTGCTAAAAGAAAAAATAGATTTTTCAAATGTTAACAATCTTTAAACTTGTGACCCTTAGAATAATTTAATGTGCCTAATGTTGTTTTTCCAATGTTTTTCTTTTCTAGCTGATGTTTAACGTCATCCTAGAAAGATGTTTCATTTATATAAAATCATCTCTATCTATGCCCACATCTCATATGGAGTTAGCTTAAAATAAAATTAGATGTTTGTGTAGTTTTTAGTATAAAAAATGTATAAGCACTATTTTTTTTCTGTTATCACTTCTCCTGCAAATTTGTACAATAAATACTTGTTAGAAGTTTACCTGAACGCAAGCTTCATGTGTCAATCCTAGAACTGTAGTTTTGTACATATACTCTTGTAAACTACTAGTTTACCCACCTATTTAAAAAAAAAAACAAAAAAACTGCAGTAACGTAAATTTGCAGTGGTTATATATTCCTGAATAACTAATGTAGGATTTTATCTAAATAATGTTATCTACTTTAGAGTGCAAGAAAGAATACTTTGTAAATCATTTAAAGTAAAAATATCTGAAAAAAGGTAGCATGAAGCAAAAATAAAAAAACTTGCAAATGGTATAAAATTTTAATAACAAACCTTCCATTTGAAAAATATAAAATTTTTTGTTGACTTGAAAGTTTTCTTTCCATTTAATTTTTTAACGATAATTATTTAAAAATAAAAAAAAATTCTAACTATGACCTAGAGAGGGAACAGTGCAAACAGATTTGTTAGATCCTGCCCATAAAATTTTTTGTGTGTGATACCTTTGTCGGCAGTCATATCAGTAATATTATACTTCAAAATATCATTAGAAGCCTTGTACTTTTTTTTTTTTCCCCTCTATTTATTTTTCAAAAATTATTTGAATATGTGATAGATATGTAATTAACAAACAAATTTAAAATGCTTCACAGGGAAGTCAGAACCACAGATGTATATAAATTAATAAAAATGTTTAATATAATTTTATTTTAAGTTTATTTGATTGCATAAATGAATTTTTTTATGAATGAAAATTTTAAACAGATGCTCTGAGTTAGAAATGAAATAATTAAATTGATATGTAAAGTTGGCAAAGTTAATGATGCCATATGAAGCATTGAACTATGGATGTCTCATGATGTATTGTTAGTAAGCTGGTTTTGAAGATCATTATGACTGAGTAGTGAGTTAGTTGCTTTTTCAAAAATAGATTAAGCCTAGTAAATACCCACTGCTTAATTTCAGCTTTATTGCTTAGCCTCAGCTGTAAATAAAAATGAAGCAATTTTTATTTTTTAGATTCATTCCAATTTAGAAATTTTAATTTCAAAATTATCCAGTTTACATGAATTGCATTAAGATATCACATAACACAAGGAATAATTTTATAGGAAAAAAAAACACTTGGCATTTTTATGATTTATTTATTACATATGGAAGTTGAATGTAATACTGTTTTTGGTAATATATATTTTAATTTGAAGCTAGGTTTAAAAATCAGTCCGTGTTGTATTGTAAAATCTTCAGTAAAATTTAACAAAAATACCTGCATGCAAAACTATGGTACGTAAAGAGGACGGTTTCTTTTGACATGAATATAACTGTATAATTATATGGCAATTTTGTATTGTTTTAAAAAGCTATTTTTAGAATGTTAATAAAATCCAAACATGAAACTAGGTTTTTTTTCAAAATGACAACAAGAATGTTAAGTATTATAAGATTATTTACAAAAATATTGGATTTGAAAGTTCATAAAAATGTGAACCAACTACATTGCAATATTATTTTTCATATTATAAAGAAATAATTTTTTTGGTGGGGGGTATTCATAAATTTCTAAAAATGCCTGAACAATAGAAAAAGAATTTAAATAAACTGTATTTATAAATTTTTAAAAAATGCATTTCCCAGTCGCTTCTTTCATTTGTTTTGCAATGTTACTTAATAGATTTATTTACTAGAATAATTTGGCAAAGTTGAACAAACATATCTGCAAAAGGAGGAAGTATATAGTAATTGCAGTGTCAAGAGAAACTGTGAATATGTTTGTTAAATTTTGCCAAATCTTTAATATTTGAACTAATTTCCTTTTTCTGATAACAAACACACACACACACACACACACAAGAACAAATCAAATATTTTTAAAGTAACGCTTAACTGAGTCCAATCTATGGATATTTTAATAACCATATTTATTAAGTGGTTAATTGATGTGTTTCAAATTAGAATACTCTGAATGTCTTATTACTGTTCTTCAGTTGTTTTGATATTATTTGGAATTATTTAAATGCTAAAAGTGCAACCTTGTTGATCAGATTTATAAAGTCATTGTAAACCTGTTATACAGGGTGTGATGGGTAGTGTCGCCATTTTATATTTTTAATTTTGCACATTTTTTTTTATTTTGTTGACTGCACAGTATAGTAGGGTCAGTTAGGCACTGTCTATGAGAAAAAGAGCACTATGACACAATTCACTTTGCCAGAAATTTGGAAATGGCATGCTGTACTGCTTGGCATTTATGCTGGAAGTTCCAATATGAACATTTCACTGTTTGGGTGTCAATCTGAGGACAGTACAGAGGATTCAGAAAGTGTTGGAGGAATCTAATGGTGATTACAAAGGTCTTTGGAGTGATGGCTGGGTTATGCTTCCATGTATCTTCCCACAGGACCTCAAACTCAACACAGAGGCTTACATCAAGTGGCTTGAGGAGGTAGTGCTTCTCTGGGTTAAGAGGGTGGCTGCTGGAAGACCCTATGTCTGGCAGCAGGACTCTGCACTATGCCACACAAGCAGGAAAATCCAGTTGTCAGACAATTTATGTAACTGCATCACCCCTTACATCTGGGTACCTAACTCCCCAGACAGAAACCCCCTGGATTATTGTGTGCGTGGTGCAGTTGAGCAAGAGATCAACAAAACTATTTGTAACACTAACAATGAACTGAAGGCAAGGATTATTGCAGCATTCACCAACTTAATCAAGGAGACAGACCAGAAGAGTTGCAGGAGATTCTGAAGTCAATGCCATTTTTGTTTTTTATTGAATAAATTTTGACTTAATTTCTAATATTTCTGTGTATTTTTTGTTAAAAAATGAGATGTCAGGGTTATTTTCATTTTTGTGTAATTTAGACAACAGTTTATTTATTGCACTCTGTATATAAGATTTATAATGTATCCAGTGATAGAATTGCTATGTTAATTGGATATTTTAAATTATTGCTAGTAATAGTACTCTTAGAATCAAAACTTTTTCTTTTTTTATAACCGTGGCTTCATGCCATCTACAGAAAAGCTTACTTATTGTTTTGTCTGACCTTTTATCTCTTGTTTCTGGTTAGTCTGCATCTTTTATCAGACTGTTTTCCTTTTGCCCATTATACTACTTATAGAATTTAGGTAGTTTTGCTTGTGTTTGTGTGCTGCTTATTCAGGCAGTAGGCCAAGTATTTTTGCATTTACCTGGACTTTTTTTTTTTTTTTACATTACAGGTAGACTGACTGCATGACTACTACAAATGTATGCAGATGGATTTCTTTTCTCTAAAAAGTAATCTTAAGCATGTCATTTGTACATTAAGTTGTTCAGCATGAAATTTCTAATTTCATTTTTAACTTTGTGCTTTTTCAAAACAGTTTAAAATTCTGTTTATTTTTTTATATATTAAACTTACATTTTTGTTTGGCAAATACAAAATATATGGATTTCTGATTTTCTTGTTTTAGTTCAAACATGAACAACGATGACGTTGAAGCAGCAAGAAATAACAAATATATTTGAACAAAACTGGTTCTTCAAATACATTTTTTTAAAATGGCATACAATGCAGTTGAGAAAAGTTTGTCAAAACTATAAATCAATATTAACTGGAAAATGAAAGTTAAATAAGGAATTAAAAATTAGCTAGATATAGTCTTGCATTAATTCTGTTTAGTAGTATAAAACTGATGTTATGCAACCATATTATTGGTGATGGAAAAAAAGAAAATTCATTTGTCTAAGACTTGTACAATAAGAAAATGAAAAACTACACTGTTTCATGTAATATTATAGTGACCATGTAGTTTGAAGGAAGAATAAAATTGGTTTATGATAAAAAAAAATTTCCCTTTTGCTATTTTACCAAAGAAGCTCTTGGGAACCACAAGATGGTTTATGGAAGAACTACTCATTGTGGTTCTCTGGAATAGAACAGGATATTTTTATAATTGCAGCAGGTCTTTTGATAGACATGGCATGCAATATTTAGAACTAGTAACAAGGATCACCTTGTCATTGTTTTGTCATTAATAGATTTTCTATATATGTTTATACATAGGGATGTTTGTTTGTTTGTTTGTTTTTTTTTTTTTTTTTTGTTTTTTTTGTTAAAATTTTGTATTTTAAAAAAAAAAGAAAAAAATTTATTTTCCATTGACTCATATTCTTTTTTTATTTTTAACAGCAAATGAGGCGCCCTGAATCCTCTGATGATAGACATGTGATGGCTAAACATGCTTCCATCTATCCAACAGAAGAAGAGGTAAGTTTTGTTTAGTTTTGCAGGATGACGTATCAGAAATTCTTTTTACTGAACAATTTCAACTCTCTTTTTGCCAGTCATATTAGGTTAAAAATGTTTTGATTTGTGTAACTGTGAATATAAAAATCAATGAGTTCATATTTGATGTGTGTGAAATGCAGAAATGGTTTTTAGTTTTGCAGCTCTCAAGATTGTCCTTAGCAATAATTCTAAAATTTAATTTGTATTTGATAAAAGGTGATATTTATAATCAGCATAGCAGGCATGTAGGGACCGAAATTACTACTCAATTAGTTACAACTGAGAATGTTCTTAGCAAGTAATTTGTTGATAATATCCAGTAATTTTAATAATAGTTAAAATAAGTTTCTTTACGAGGATAATTTGATGAGTTAATCAATTGATTATGTGCAAAATTTAAAAAAATTACCTGGTGAATGTTTCACTGAATGGATAAATATGTCATTTTGTAATGTGAACATAATTTTACTACTTGAAAAAAAAAAAAAAGTATTTTTACTATTGATATTTAGTCTTGATTGGAATTATACAAGGGAATTGTATAAACATTTTCATCTTCATCATAATAAAATTAAGACAATTTCAAAACTTTTAGTGCTGGTCCTTTAATTGCCTTAGTAGAATGAAACAAACAAAAATATATTTGATAGTATAATCTTATGAACTGAAATGATGCATTTCAAAAACTAACAAAGATTTTTGTCAAAGAATTCTTGCAAGTTTTCAATTTAACAATACCAAACATCATAAAACAGAAAAACATCCGCTGAACTGTGGTACCCAGAGGAATTTTTTAATTACCACAATCTATTTCTTTCAAAATAACAAGTTATATTAAATATTTCTATGGGACTATCTTGTAAAACAGACTTGTTGACATTTTAATATCTTTAATGATGTTGGTTTCAAGCTCTGGTAAATTCACAAAACATAACAAAATTAAATTCACTGCTTAGCAAATATCTACAAACATCAATTAAACAATGTGTCCCTTGTAAATGATTTAACTTTTTTTCTTGCTTTGCTTCTATTATTTTTAACATTTTTTTTTTCCCCAACAAATTGGAAAGAACCAGATGTTTGTAATCTGATGTCACTATATATATATATATATATATATATATATATATTCTCTCCAATAGAGCAATTGAAATACTTCTAGTGGAGAGAAAAAAAAAATCAACAGGCTGGATGGAGTGCTGGTTTGTTTGATTTATGGCATGTCACGGCTGACAAAATTCTGTTAATCAATATTGTGACTCAAATTTTTAAAAACTGATGATATTGTCTTTTTCTCGTAATTGTGCCAACTCATCCGTTCTCCAGATATCTCAGTGTTTCGTGAAAATAATTTAAACTCTTCTATCGATAACAATGAATTCTCTGTTCCAGTTTCTCTTCCTCTTTGTAAAAATTCTTCTAAGGTACATATGACCTTGTGTTTACATCCAGGATAATTTTCCAATGGCAAGTGTTACTCCAGATAATTATTTCATGTGCTTTTAATACTCTATTAGCCACCTCCCTTTTTTTTTTTTTTTTTTTTTATCCTCCCTTCTTCTCAAGCTGTAATATGCTAGAGACAGGATAGAAATGGTGCATTTGTTCTCTCTCTCTCTCATCAGGGGACATTGTTTTTAGTGGGAATTTTAATGTTCTTGTCAAGTGACTTAATCATTCTAATATTAATGATGTTGCTGGTATTGAGACTTTCAATTTTTCCATTTCTCAGTCTCTCACTCAAATAGTAAATATCCTTATTTTTTTCTCTAATAATTCTGATCAATATACTTGATTTGTTCCTTAGCTCCTCTCCTAGTGCTTGTTGAGTATCACAACACTGTCCTCTTGGCAATTCAGATCATGCTATAGTTGGTATTTCTTTTAACTTGTCTATTAGGCATAAACCACTTATTCATAAGATTTCTTTTTGTTAGCAGCATTCACTTCATGATTTTCTTTGTGATACCCTTGGAGTGAAATTTTTAAACCTTACTCTTGGCAATTGTGCCCCTGAAGTTTCTTCTTAGCTAAGAGTTGGCATTGATGCATTTTTACCTTCTCAGAAATACCAAGTAAAACCACAATCTTATTTCACACCTGCCTGTTCATCTGCTGTAGCCCACGGGAATAACTTTTTCCAGCTGTACCAATGTAATCATTCCGATCACAAGTATCTGTTAGTGTCTGCTCATAATAATATTAAACACATCCTCAAAGAATGAGACAACATTATGGACACTTGAGTTTGGTTCTCATGAATAATGTTGCCTCTGGAATTGTTTAATGGAAATAAGTCCTCTATCACCCGTCTCTTCACTCAATTTGTGGTGTTATCATCTGCTGATAAAGTAGAATGTTTTACTTGTAAATTCTGTTCCAATTCTACTCTTGACTCATCTGGAGTATCTTTGCCTTACTTTCCATCTAGAACTGTGGTATGCATATAACTCGGACTATCATATCTAAACTGGACCCCCCCCCAAAAAAAAAAATTGCATGTGGACTTGATGGCATCTCTGCAATAGTCCTTAAGAAATGTGCTTCTGAACTAGTTCCTGTTCTTCCTAAACTCTGCAATAAATGCCTGGCTGCTACTTGCTTTCCTGCTTGTTAGAAATCCTCTTCTGTCTTTAAGAACTCAAGTGAACTGTTTAATCCTATCTCTTTTTGGCAAAATACTAGAAGCTCTAATCAACACTGAATCAGTTAAGCATCTTACATTGCAGAGTCTTCTTTGGGACCAGTAATATGGTTTTTTGCTTCTCTAGGTCAACTAGTGATATATTTACAGTTATTGCTGAAAAAGTATCAAGCTTTAGATAAGACTTAAAGCTTGGGCTGTCAGTTTGGATATATTGAAGGCATTTTACATGGTTTGGCATGCTCATTTTCTTCACAAGTGGCTAGGTTGTAGTATTTCCGGATGAACTTCTGATTCAAATCGGGAAATGAAGGTGGGCTTGAACAGCCACTCTTTTAGATATTTTCACATTGATGTGGGTGTTAACCTCCCCTCTACCCTTGAACCTATGTTATTTCTAATTTTCATCAACAACTTATCTGATGTTATCAGTCTGAAACTCTATATCTATGCTGATGACAAATATTTTTTTCTGTCTTAATGGTAAGTCTGATCAGTTTGATTAGGTCAAATTGACCTGCATACAATCTGTTAACTAGAGCAAGAAGTGGTTTGTTAATTTTAGCACCTAAAATGAAACTGCAGTCATTTAATAGTGAATGGTGATGCTAAACCCCAGGAGAGTGACTCATTGCACCTTCTTGGGCTAACATTTTCTGCTGACATGGTAAGTCTTCCGCTAGGAAAGTTGATTCAGTGTGCAGTGCTAGGCAATTTTTCCCACCAGAATCTATCTTAGACATTTATCAGTCTACTTTTTGTCCATGCATTGAATATTTTGGACACATCTAGTATGGTGCTTCTGCTATATACTTAAAGAGTCTTTATAAAATCCAAAGAATCTGCAATATTATCAGTCTTGAGCTGGTATCTCAACTTCAGTCACTTTCCTAATATTGTAACATAGTTTACCTGTGCCTTTTCTATAAATATTTTCATGGTAATTGTTCTGATGAGCTTTCCTCTTTGGTATCTCAACTTTAAGTGCAGTACTAAATTGGAAGCTAGGTCTCATCATTTTTGAGTTGAAATTGCTAGATGTAACCATAAGTTCTGTGTTACCAGTTTCTTCCCTTGCATCTCTTGCCTTCCAGTCAACTTTGATCTTCAAAAATTTAAATGCTATGTCAGTTGTTACCTTCTGTCTTAATTCCTGTTCTTTTATTGTTCTCTCTCCTTAATGTTTTTGTTTTTCTCATTCTTTCACACTCTGTAATTCCTTGTATCATAGTGGCTTTATTGACTTAATTTTTTAAAAATTATATATTTTGTCTATTTATGGAGGATGATAAAATTAAAACAAATCACTGATAAAAATAAATTTTATCATCCTATGTTCATTGTTATAGGAAAAAATATTAACTTTGTGACAACTTTTAATAAACCAAAGAAATATAGGAGAAAACAATGATATTGTTTGATATTTTTGTGGTCTTTAATAATGACATTACCTTTGTGATGATAAAAAATTCTTAACATTCTTCATTAATCTTGTAGTGTAAAAGTAACTTTTTTCTCTTTAAAAAAAGATGCTAAAATTACAATAACTTAGGAAAACAAATTATAAAATATCAAACCATATACTTCAGTGTCGTAGATAATAAATATCAATATATTCATTGTTATGAAGAACAATATAGAGGAGAAAAATATTAACTTTGTAGTGAAATTTTTAATGACACTTTTGTCAAATATCTAACAAAATTATATATAATTCATAAACAAAATCCAAAATCACCTCATATGGGAAATAACCTATTTCGGCAGACAAAGATATCCATTGTCTGTCTTATCAACCCCGGTGTGGACTGAGTTCGTGTCAAATAGAAATTTAACTGTGAAAGCTATAAAAAATATATATATATATATATATATATATACTTGGGCTTTACAGTTTATAGATTGAGTTTTTTTTTTTTTTTTTTTTTTTTTTTTGTGGATCAGTTTTAATATTTTATATTACTATGATCCACTTGGGTTATGTACCAACAGATTTGTTACCATCCATATATATATATATATATATATATATATATAAGTACTACATTTTCTAAGAAAATAAAATAAACAAACCATATACTTCAGTGTCGTAGATAATAAATGAAAATTAATCCAAGCATAGGAGATAAATATTTCTTTTTGAAGACTAAATTGTTTGTTGATTCCAGTAACAAATTTTGTTAGTGCATGCTTTCCTAGCCTGCTATAGGTATTTGGTTTAACATAAATTTAGGCACCTTTTTTTTTTCTTCCTCCATTTTTCAATGTGAACATGAAAGAAATCTGATGCCAATTGTTTCTGCTTGCAAAAAAAAAGTCACCTACTGCTCTATGG